ATATATGTGATCATAAGTGGGCGGTGCCACGCCCATTTTTCAAAATTGTATCCTAAACGTATTTCTTGGTAACGAATTGTTGCAAGCATCAATTTTGAAAAAATTAGCTTCAATAATTACTGATTTATCGAAGATTTCGTATTTCTCTAAATTACCGTTATATGGGATTATTGTCCTATTTTAAAAATTTTCGGCCATTTCGTATGTTATACCAAGGTTAACAACTGTGCCAAGTTTGGAAGAAATTGGTGCAGCGGTTACCAAGATATACACATGTAAACATAACTGGGCGTGGCTACGCCCATTTTCCAAAAATTTATAATATTCTTATATTTCGTCTAGAATTTATTATAAATATCAATTTTGAGTCAATTATCTTCAGTAGTTACGAAACTATCGCTGTTTTCGTATTTCTGGAAATTACCGTTATATGGGAAGTGGGCGTGGTTATTATCCGATTTTTAAAATTTTCGGCCATTTAGTATGCTGTATTAAGGCCAACAACTGTGCAAAGTTTGGAATAAATTGATGCAGCGGTTACCAAGATATACACATGTAACCATAAGTGGGCGTGGCTACGCCCATTTTCAAAAAAATGTTAATATTCTTATTTTTCGTCTAAAATTTATTATAAATATCAATTTTGAGTGAATTATCTTCAGTAGTTACTAAAATATCGCAGTTTTTGTATTTCTGAAAACTACCGTTATATGGGAGGTAGGCGTGGTTATTGTCCGATTTTGCCCATTTTCAATACCATCCGTCCTACGCCCGAAAGAAGTGCACATACCAAGTTTCGTTAAGATATCTCAATTTTTACTCGAGTTATCGTGTGCACAGACGGACAGACGGACGGACGGACGGACGGACGGACGGACGGACAGACAGTCACCGCTTAATCGATTTCTCTTTTCATCCTGAGCATTTATGTATACATTTGTCTATATCTATCTCGATTCGTTTTGCCTGTTACAAACAACCGTTATGTGAACAAAGTTATAATACCCTTGTGCACAAGTGCGCTCGGGTATAAAAAATAGGGAGTGCTCAAAGGAAAAACAACTTTTCGTAGAAATAGTGTAGAATTCTTGAAAATCAACAGTTTTCGATCGGAAAACTTTTCTTATCTTCAGGAGATTCCCAGTAATAATACGCAATTGTCTCTTTAACCATTTTTTCATAGTAACTATATTTTATAGGTCCTCCGAAACCCCTGGAAAATGCAATGGAAAAATCTTTAATCGTAAAAAATAGTTAAATAAACAATTGGATAGTAATTCTGGAAGTCTCCTGAAGAGAACCACAGTTTTCCGATTGAAAAATATTGATTTTTAAGAGTTTTATACCATTTCTACGAAAAATGGTTTTTTCTTCATATAAAATACATGGAAAACTTTGAGCACCCCCTAAATATTTTTTGATTTCAAAATAAAAAATAGGGGTATATTTTTTTCGATATAGAACAATCCTAGGGGGTGCCGGCATTAAAATTCCAACTTAATTTTTTTGGACCACTCAACTGTCCATTGATAGCTCGGTTATATAGCTTAAGAAATAATATTTAAAGACATTTTTATCAAAGTTGATAAATATGACATTTGACCAGTTTTGTTACACAAATACTCCTACGACCACAGGCAAAAATATTGGCTACAATATGTAATTTTTTGTTTGCAATATATTCGATTTATCGGGCCACTTGCAAAATATTCGCATTCGCAAAAGCTCCGCATTGATTATTGCGAATGCGAAAGCGAATGTGAATGTTAAAATTAATGCGGAAGCTCCGCGGTTGCGAATGCGAATATTCGCAACAACCCTGGTACATACATATCTAGCATATAAGTTCTTATGCATTGAGTACAAAAAAGTGTATTTTAGTACAAAACGAAATGAAATTTTATATTCCTAAACATTTCTTGCTTAGCAGCATATAAAAGTGTTTTATCCCACCATGCAAAACATGAGAAATAGGCAACAATCGTCAATGGCAACAAATTGGCGACTCACCGATTTATTGCTGTGGTGACAAATCGGCAACATCACTTCATTCATGTCAATTTTGAATAAAAAAGTTCTCAAAAATTCCGAAACTTATGAATATGGCGTCAATAGTATTGGCCAAAAGCATCTAAATTATGCTCAAGGACAAGATTGATAAAATAGGAAGCCTCACAGCGAGAAAATGAATTAATTCCGATTGTAAGTTGCAATTTGGTATACAAAAAAATAAATGAAGTATTAAAAAGAATAAAATTATTCCAAATATCGCCTGAAGCGATAAGAAAAAGACTCATTCAGGCAATAAGAAAACGCTTCGCCCAGGCGAGTTGCCTTCGGCGGACGTTTTAGAGCGACCGGTAATAGGAAATCGATTCGATGGCAATATTACCGGCAATAAATTTGTTTCCGAGGGCGACACGTTTTCTTATTGCCGGCAACACGGTTTGGTGGGATGTAATGTACAAAAATGTGACATAATTTTACACATACATACGTATGTACATACATGTGTATGCCTTGTTTTTTTGTTTTGTTAACTCCGTTGAATCAACTGATTTTATGAATTAATACAGTTATTTATAATTTTTTATGGAATCCGCATTGGCATATGAAATACGAATTGATGCAGTAAAATGAAGCAAATGTACTTTCGGATGCAAAAAATGTTCTTTGGGACTTTAGTGTGCCAATTTGAGTTAATTTTT